TTCTGTGCTTGCTCCCCACCCACCCTGCAATCTCAGACAAGTAGCAGATGCTGCCATGAAACAACTTGAGTTTCCTGACCCTCTTTCTACTCTCTATTGCACAGAAGCAATAAAGAAAATTACATCTAAGTAGTCTTGTTAAATGGAAGGTATAACTTGTGTGACAGGTCAATCCTATCCAACAAATGCTCCAGAACAGAAATTTCTGTATGATGAAGAGACTCTCAGACTTCAACCAAGGGCTATTAATTAAAAACAGTCTTGACATGACAACGTTCCAATGGTATGGCCATATGTGCAACCCCCCCACACACACACAGACACACACTACCATAATTTTGATTTACTTTATGCTTTGTTCTTTGTAGGCTATTCTAAATGTGTTAACTTATTTCCCCATTACTTGGCTAAAAGACAGTTTTAGTCTGTCTCAACATTTAACGTCTCAGCAGAAACAAAAAGAGACTAATGACTTGAGTTTATATCATGAGCTGTGTACTTCTGAATATGTGATAGCTGAGTCATGTGACAGAATTCTGGTTTCCCCATAGCCTAATTCTGTGATAGGTACTTGATGTTGCTGCCTCAATTTTTCCTTCCTGTAAAATGGTTACATTGTTTAGAATTTTATCACATAGATTTATTTTCTAGGGCTTTATCTCTGCTTTCCAGAAGTATATGGGACAGAGGAGTGGGCTGCTATCTATGAGGGGATCAGAAGCAACTCACAAAGCTTGTGTTCCTATCCAAGGGTGAGAACTAATTATATACCCACGTCCTTAAATGGCAAGGGGATAAAAAAAACAAGGTCTGTGAGCATGTCAAGGGAGAAAGAGCAGAACTACATCATTGTAGAGAGAAGGCAGCCCAAATATACATTCCATATATAAGTCTCACAGTGACAATTAAATGGACAAAATAGTTCATGTAAAGTATCTAACATAAGCATGCAGCAAGTGTTCCTTGACATATCATCTAGGGCCTCTTCCTTAACTCTTAGAGCATATTTCTTTTTTGAGTTTATTGCTCCAGTTGGACATAACACTTCACCTCAGAAAACTGACTGAATAAACTATTGGTGGATCTTGAATAATTATCACAATTGATCAAATATATTAAAAAAATAACATCTCATTACTAAAATAATAAAAATTTACTATCTCATTTAATTGACTGATATCTATTAAACATCTGGTCCAAATAGCTCTTAACAGAGATCATAGAGATCAATGAGCATAGCATGGTGGGACTTTACTGTTTTAATTATGGAATTAATACAGTAGAGTTGCTGGATTCTTGAAGACGTGTATTGTTTGTCAACTGAAAAGGCTGAAACTGAAGTCTACTGTCTAGCAGAGTCAGCTCGAAAGCATAATACAACCCATAGCCAACTCTCCCTCTAGATTTCTTATAACATTGAGAATCATCATGTCACATGCATTCTGTAATAGATGTGTTGGCTCTGGCCTCCACGGATATCCATGCATGCATACATAAACCCATACAAACACACACATCCACATAATTAAAAATAAAAATAAGTGTTAAGAGAGAGACTAAGAATATTTGTAAAGCAAAGACAGGTTGTCATGGTGTTTCTTTCCACTTATAGATGAAGAATGATATCAAAACAAAATTACTTCAGTCCACAAATCTACCACGTCCCTCCCAGCATTGAACATTCAAGGAAATGTTACTTCTACCCACGAAGAAAGATCATGCTGGTCTCTAGATAACATTTTCTGATGTCTCAAAGTTTAGAGTAGGAATCTCAAAGGAGCCTTTAAAGGTTTCCATAAAGGTGAAGTGGCCCTATCCTCAGAATTGTTGCCCTCCCAGTAAACGTTCACAAGGTCAATGACCTATGGAAAATAGTGCTAACAAAATTCCAGCCACCATTCTCTCCCTCTGACAACTCAAGGCCCACTAGCTGCATCGTGACACCTCCAGATCTAGCCTACTTCCTAGAAAGAATTGTCTATGCTTTTCACAGCCTGCAGAAATTCCAGTCTCAGCCTTCCTCTGGATATTATTGGAATCTCGCTTTTTGCCCAACATTTGGCTCACTGAAATATAAATTCGGAGTTGTAAATTATACTGCTTAGCTCTTTATATTATTCCACACTGTCAATGCTTCCTTCGCTTGTCACCTAGGTCTCCAGCACCATGTTTTGATTTCCGGAAGCAGCCATTCTTGGGGAGATAACAAAAGGTCTTAGGAAGAAGGTCCCTGACCCTGTCACTGCCCATCTATGTGGGTCTAGAAGAGGGTTAAAAGAGCAGATGTGCCTGTGAGGGGTTAAGGTGCATGAAGGAAATCTATTTTTGGCTGACTTCTCTATGTCATTCATCTCTGCTCTCTCTTCTGAACATCTCCATAAGCATTCATTTAAATTCTTTGAATGTTCTTTGAGGTCATTCTCCTTGTGGTCCACCATAACTAAAGGGATCAGTCAGTTTTAGAGGAGCTATGTTGTCTTGGATTTTCATGTTTCTGTTTTGTGCTGAGCTTTCTGCATTTGGAGTTGACTGACGAACAGTCTGTGAGGCTAACAGCCTTGGACTGATGACCTGGGGACTGTTCTCTTGTAAAACCCTGAGCTATAGTAGGAGTGTGGGCAAAGATTGGGTCAGGGCACCTTACCTGATGACACTGGAAGCTAAGCAGAAAAACAGGGGAAGTGCACAGGGAGGTCTGATCAAACCCTTACTTGTCTGCAGTAATTCTTATGAGTGCTTCCATTGATCTAACACTACCCCCAAAGTAATGACATTTTTAATTTAAAATGTTTTCAATGAGCATGTGATTGAAACTATATCAATTACTACAAACCCTAAGAGAAATGTAGAAATATTAAACTCATTCTGGCTGAGAATCACCGCATATCACATCATACATTAACACTGTTAAACACACACTTCTAGGAAGACTTTTATGACCAACTTGCTGTCATCATGTAGAACTCTACTGTTTGACATTTAAAACATGACTAAGATCAGTAATATTGGATGGCTTCTATGGAGCAGACACTGCACTGAGCCTGTTTACTGCAGCAGATGTTGCATTCAATCTGCTCTTTGGGCCTCATCCTCTGTATTTCCAACCATAGCAGGATTTTTCTGCAAGTATGTGTGAGTGCACATGTGCAAAGATGTCAGAGGTGCCCTTCAACTATGATTCCTCAAGTTTCCTCATCTTGTTTAGATGGTGCTGCTGGTGGTGATGGCAGTGTGTGTGTGTGTGTGTGTGTGTGTGTGTGAGAGAGAGAGAGAGAGAGAGAGAGAGAGAGAGAGAGAGAGAGAGAGAGAGAGAGAGGCTATCTCTTTTTTTTTGCTTCTACTACAAACACTTTACTGACTGAGCCATCTTCCCAGTAACTACACAGAGATAATGAAGCATCCCCTTCTAGGCGGTTCCTGATATGACATTATTCACAAATTTCTCCAGCCTTTTGTAGGAGATTATTCCACTGGATGCTCCTGATCTAACCATTTCACCATGATTCCAACCCTCTTACAGAGTGGCCCCTGGTGCCAATCCGGGTGCCTAACATTTGAAGCTACTTACTCTTCACTTCGGTGGTAGCTGTGAGAATGTGCATCATGAGCCAACTATTTCAGGTTATAATTTCAAGGGATCTAACAACAGATCTAAATTCTCAGCAAGGGATCTAAAATTCTCAGCAAGGTTTGTGCCAAGGCCATGCCATGTGTGTGCCTTCCCCCCAACCAGTACCAGTGTAATGGTACATTGATGTAGATTTATCTTAAGAAATAAAGGCTTCCCCAGAGTCAGCTGTGTCTTCTAGAAATCCTGATGCCTTTTCCTAAATCCCTTTAGCTGTCTGACATTCCAAGATCCTTTTATCCAATTTCCTCATTTGTATCTCTCTTGTTCTAGATTCGTGTGCATGAGAGTCATTCAGCCTTACCTGGATCCCACAATATCTTCTCCTACAGTGCTAATTTTCCTAATAAAATGTCTTGAATATTCAATCACACATTGTATCCTACTCCTTGAATGACTTGAGTCAAAATAGTGCCTGTCCAGTTTATGTAGAAGAAATAGCTTGGATGCAAGCTTCTTTCTTTATGATTGGTTTATTGAATAAGCTAAACTCAGAATACATCATGTTTTCTCTTTCTTACCACTTCAGATCTTCAAACCTACCCCTACTGAATCTCACTCCTTGCATATAATCACAGATAAATTTTATACAATTTATAATTAAGTTTTACTAGAAAAAAAGAGAGAAGCACTTAAAATGATTGGATTAAATAGAACTGAAACTTATTTATACAAGTATAAACCATAAAAACAAGCCTTTAATAAAATATAGAAGACTAGGATTTTAGCTTTATTTCCCCTCCGACCTAAAGTATAATCAATTTCTGTCCTGATGCTCCAGATGATTATTGGAGACCCAGCCACTGAGGAACAGAATAAAGGGACAAAGCGGGGAGGGAATGCTTGAAGGCATTTACCAGGAACACAACTTTTCAAACTTCAGTACACAATGCTTCTTTTCTTATGAACTTACATAGCTATGCCAGGCTTCAAAAAAAGTCAGTATAAAATACATTTTTGTTCATCCATTTGCTTTTGCTTTTGGTTTGACTATCAACTAGTGTGCTGGGGGTGAATATTTGAGTCTGTTAAAAAGAAAGATATGCTCTCCTACAGCTCCCATGGCTTGCCCAATCCCTCAATTGTTCTCTGCCTTCAGACTAGTAACAAAAGCTTTGCCCATTACAACACTAAAATTTCTTTTTTTTCTGTTTAAGGAATTTTTATTAAAGCAAGAATTCTATAATCCAAATTACGTTTCCTTGCTCAGTCATCAGTTCTGCTCCTTAAAACAGAACTGGCGTCCCAAGCTATTCCACAGTAAAGAATTACAAAATTAAAGAAAGGAATGCTTTAAATTTTTGTACTTTGCTGAAAATTCTTTTCCCAGGGTCTATAAAACATTAATTTGTTTTTATATTTTACTTTTTTTTTGTTTTAAATCAAGTAATCTAGGACTAGCACTGTTCGCTAGACCTGGCATTTGCTCAGTACATAAGGTTCAAAGTTTCCTTTCCTTTTTTTATTTATTTTATATTTTGCAATTTTTTCATACTATTTAAATTTTTCAATGTTTAAGATATTTTTCTTTGGTGAAGCACAAGTTTCTGTTCGTGGTCCCTGATCAGTTTAGACAGTTGGAACACCAGTGGCACTGTTCACTGCTTTCTGGGCAGCCTCTTTCACTTGGTGGGCTTGTAGTACAGCTACAGCTTCATCAACCTTTGAGCAGAGAGACTCTGGAGACTTAAGCATGTGAAGTAATTCCAAGTCATCAATCTCCAAAAGCATGCCAGTGATTTTGCCAGCAAGAGAGGGGTGCATGGCTTGAATAAGAGGAAACAGCCGTTCACCCAACATTTGCTTTTGCTCTTGCGGGGGTGCAGATGCCAACATGGAAGCAGTTAAAGGTTCTTGACCTTGCACATGAACAGCAGGCTGTTGCATGGTAACTTGTGGCTGTGCATTAAGGTGTTGCTGGGGATTGAGGACTCCTGCAGCATATTTATACTGGGGAATGGTGCGGACGGCAGGAGTGGCTGCAGCAGCAGCAGCTGCAGGACGTGGACCCATTGTCTGCACAACACTAAAATTTCAAATGTCATCTAATTAGTACCTCTCCAACATGTGCTAGAGACTAGGGAAGGTTAGCTTTCATGTTATTTACCCCTCCATGCCCATTCTTTAAACTTCCCATAGCTCTCAAAGATGTAGTGTGTGTTGAGGTGGGAGGGGGAGAGACAAATATCAAACGTTACTAGCACAGATATAAACTAACATTCAGATTCTCCATGTTTAAAACTTTCAAATGCAGATTTGTTTTCTAGTGAGAAGATTTCTAGACTTTTTACAGAAACCTGAACTGTGGAATCTGACGCTGCACTGTGGTGGTGGTGATATTCAGCCAACCGTTCCTCTCCATCACCCATTCCTGTCTTCCTAGAATATGGTACCAAACACTAAGCACTAGTGGACATAAGGCCTTCAGGTAAAACTGCAATAACTAACTGATTTCACTGGAATGGCAGACACACTATCCACAGTACACTCCACTGCGACATATAAATAACTTAGATTCACAAGACTTTATTGGTCCATTACACAATTGAAGTTATAGATAAAATAAAAGCCTCAAAAACTAAAGGATGGCAAGCACAGAGGATCAAGGCTTAACAATTCCCAGGAGCTTCTGAATGCAGAAGTAGGTAGGAACTTTTAAAATTGTAATTGATAAACTACTCCAAGCTGATCATGGAGTAGCTTGAGTGAGATCCAGAGATCTCACTTGTAGAGAGGGTTTATAGTTTCATGAATTGTATTTGGAAGAATCTTTCCAAGTTCTCATGGAAAAAAAATCACAGCAAACTTCCTTTTTTGCTTACAATAGGAAGAGGGAATGCATGATCACTTTTAAATATATCCAGGCCTTTATCGTCTCCACCAATACTTAAGGTAAACTAATCAAATCCTAATTAATAGAGGAAATGGGAACTATCAATTCCCAGCCTTGTCCTGTCTCCATAAGAAATGCAAAAATCTAAGAAGCATCTGCAAAGACCATAGCTCAGGCACGTGTTAAATGGAAGAGTGAGAGGGAACCACCAAACCATGAATATTTCTCTTGTCTTCCCCTTACCATCCTGTATAAGAAGAGGGAACTATAACTAAGCACTATAACAAAGATGTTCTTTAAGAAGAAGACATAGGGAAAAAAAAAAGGACATCAGAGGGAAACAGAAGCCTTAAGCAATAGCAGCTAGTATAGATAAGCAGAGTATAATCTCTGGACACATTAAAAAAATACTTAAAATCTTTTTTACTCCAGTTTCTATTAGCCAATATACCATATCTAAATTTCAACATCAACAAAAATACGAGAATAGAGCAAAGCAAGGAAGAAATATACTCGGATGATCCAAAGAAGGAAAACAATGCTAGACTTGGTATGAATTGTGGTTATCAGACCAGTTAAAATAACTGTATTTCAGAGACCCACAATTGAACAATGCGCAGAGAGTGAGAGTGTCTGAAGCACTCAGTCCTAACTGGGATGTCTTTATCGAATCCCTCCCCTCAAGGCTCTGAGATCTACAAGGAACAGGAGGCAGAAAGATTCTAAAAGCCAGAAGTGGTGGCTAACTTGAAGGAGATGATGTTACCTAGACACAACAATGCTGACACTCTCATGAAGTCACAGAGACTGTGACAGCACACAAGGCATACACAGATTCAAACCCACAAACCTCAGCACTGAGGAGAGGAAGTGGGCGCAAAGTCCCACCCCTCACCAGAAAGTTATTTGCAATTGATATCTGCTGGGAAAAAAATTAGTTTACTCTAGTGACATGACACAGGACATGGCAGGTCCAAGAGTGGTTGGACAGCACAAAATGGACTCCATGGTTTTGTATACTTTTTGCTTTGTTTTCATTTTGGTTAAGATTTTTTTTTTTTTTGGCTTCTTAGAGTTTGGGAGTTTTCTGTTTTGCTTTTTTCTTCTTGAGAGAGAAAAGGGAAAGGAAGTTGGGTTGGTAAGGAGATAAGAAGGAGTTTGGATAGTGGGAAGAAAATGATCAAAATATAATATATGAAAAATTATAACATTAATATGCTAAGCTCCATAGATTAAAAAAAATGTTACTATGTAAGAAGTGGATAGTGTGAGCAGGCGGAAACTCTAAGAATCAAAGGAAATGCTATGGATCTTAGTCACTGTGACAAGAATAAAGACTACATCCACCAGCTTCCGTTTTGGCTTGGGTAATAATATGCCTAAATTTCGATTTGCAGTAACGTGAAAAGAACTGCTGTGTGCAACTTCCAGGCCACACCTTTTGAATGCTTTGAAGAATTGTACTCCTTATGGTAATTGTCATAGCCTGCTACTCACTCCATTGGAAAATCGTACTAACTCCTTAAAGCTGTATGTAGCCAGAGGTTCAGTTCTGTCCAACAATGGAGGGAAAGTCATTTAACTGCTGAAGCAAGATTTTCCAGTTTGTTCTTTTCCAACCATAGGCCCCAGAAATGGTGAAGATTCATCAGAGGTGCTGAGCAGGAGAAACTTCAAACACTGCCCCAGACACTTGTGGAAAGCATGCAATATAAGCAAAACAGAAACCATCAATTCTCTGGAGAATTATAATTACTGTTTCGCTCTCTAGCCTATTCCAACTAGTATGTTTTGTGTCCCCTCTCCAGTTTCATGCTAGCTGACATTCAGACCTGGAGTGAGCCATGATATGGAAACAGTGGAATGGAAAGAACCTGAATTCTTGAAGAATTCCAAGGATAGAGACTCAATACCACCTTAAATATTTTCATGCATGAAAAATAAACTTCATTTTAAGCCTACTCAGATAATCTAAATCTATTCTCTATTATATGATTATAAGACAAATCATCCCCCCTCCAGCTGTTTACCTATTTTTCAGTACCAAGGAAACCCTGAAAATATCCTTTGTTACTGTGACAGCACATATTTAGGATCTGTGTGTACTATCAGGACATTGACAAACAGATTTGGGTGAATCATTATCAAGAATGGTTGAATAAAATGTAGTCTGTTATCTCTGGAATGACTTTAGTCACTTGGAGAAGATTGATGGCTGCTCCTCTTTGGACAATGTTTGAACCCAATGCATTTAAAGATCTGACTAAACAGTGCAATGATCAATATTTCCAATAAGGATAAGGTCGAGGAAGTGGTCATTGGAGAGCTCTATGTGTATAATAGGATCTGTCCCAGATGGAGCTTAAAAAGCACAACAGAAACATATACAAAGACTCTGCTGAATTAGCAAGTGTGCAGGTGTAACTACAATGCTTTAAATTAAGACACAAGCTATTCCCCCAAGTAAATCATGTACCAAATAAAGTCTCTTAAATTATACATGCTTCCAAAGACTTTTGAAAATTGTGTACTTACAATGCTAAGGGGAAGATATCTTTCAAGAACAGAAATTCTATTTTAAGATGAATTTAAACCAAAGAGCTTAATTAAAATTAAATATTAAACCAGTTCCTATGACTGGAATGCAAGATACAACTTCAGCGAAAGCTTGACCCAACCTCTAAGAAGACAACTACAATCTGTTTTATCTATTTGCATATTCTCGGCTTGGTTTCCAGTGTTAACTACTCTGAAGCATCCTTCCTCAAACTCCCTTAACTCTGAAGAGGTCTGAAGTAGTTCCACATATTCCAGTGCTTGCCCCCAGAGGTAAGAACATGCAACATAGCTGCTTGCTCAGCAAAGGTATGGGGTCTCAGTTTGCCTGGACTAGCTTAGGCCATAAGCTGTTTCCATGTATGTGTGTGTGCATGTGTGTGTGTGTGTGTGTGTGTGTGTGTGTGTATGTATTTGAGGGCTGATGCAGATTCTTGATCTTTTTGGCATGTACTTAGCATCTATTGAAATATATCTGTAACACAGAATACTAGTCATTTTCTTCTTAGGAGGCAACTAGAATACACTTCCCAACTTCTCTTGAAGCTAGGCATGCTCATATCATAAAATCGTGGCTGATGGCATAAAAGGCTTACCCCAACAACATCTTACATAGTTTAAATGCATTTTCCCATCTGCCAGCTTAACATACACAGACCAAACATTTAGAATTCATTAGAACTATGATGATAGAAAATGCATCAACTCTTACTGAATGAGTAGGATCTATTCAGAAAGAAACTCTGTCCCTTAAACAAACCATACCTTTTATTAGTCTCAAATGTTGGAAATTTCTTACAATTTTATTACATTTTAATTAATTAATTAATTTGGGGAAAAGGTGAATAGGCAAGAAGACAACTTTCACCATGCGGTACCTGGGTCATCAAACTCAAGTCATTGGGCTTGGTGGCAAGTGCCTCCTTTAACCATTGAGCTATCTAAGTGAGGGTCAGAATTGGAAATTTACCACTTATTTATTGTACCAGTTTATTTATTAACTCTAACCAACACAGTAATATAAGAAACATTGTCTAAGAATAGGAAAAATGGAAGCTGGACAGCCCAAAATAAGCAATGTCTATGGCAGGGAAGGTTTCAAGATTTGGATTATCCTTAAATGAAATGGAAGCAATTATTCTGACATCTGAGTCTATACACTTTTATTTTCTGAAACAGCATCATTATAATGACTTAGCTACAGACCGAGTAAACAAAGCAGCAATTGCCTTTGTACTATAATAAGGCTTTGCAAACATGCCCTGCATTTTCACATGGTTTCTTTAATAAATGGATGATATTTTCTTATGCTCACAAGCAGCTGTATCCAATAGAAGATGTAATTTAAATTTTACTCTGCATCTCAGAGAACCCTTCCTCAATTCAAGTAGGGTATTCTGAAATGGAAAAAATATATATATGTTTTTCTAAAACCTCTTCATCTTGGGTTTTAACATGCAAGCACAAGACAGGAGAGGAAAATGAAACCAAAAGGCATATAAAAAGCAACAGAAAAAGCTACAAACCATATCAAAAGACAGATAAAGGGGGCAGGGCCCCTGGTTGAAGTCCAAGACAATAACGTCTTATCTAAAATGAAATAGACATAGAGTAGAATGAGATTGATATCAGAATCAAAGCAAGAGTGGGTATTAAAAAATAATAATTGGTATCAAAATCAAAGCATGAGAAGGTATTAAAAAATAAAGGTCAGGAATTGATATGCCAGGTGACAGCCTACAGTGTTCCCTTCCTGGAGAGTCCCTCCCTTTTGGGCTGGACAAATTCTACTATTTTCTGGGCTAAATGTCACAGTTATGAGATGTTTCATGACAATTTCTCCCCCACCGCATAGACTATTCTTCCTACTAAAATTGCCTCTAAAAGCTTTCCCCTCCTCCCATAACTCTTCTTCTTGTTAAAATTACAGTGTTATCTGTGTAATGATTAGGGTCTGCATCCCCATCTACAGT